AAAGTGTGTGAGACTCTTACTGATAGCTCAATTAGATTACTTAGACTTTGCCAGAGAACCACGCAGACATGCAGGTACAGAGAACAAAGAAAGGTTTATGGCTGGGAAAGGGGGCTGGCAAGACCCCTTCCCACAAGAGAGGTGAGAAGAAGCGCCAGTATTATCTGAGGTGACCTATATCACCTACTGAGGCTAGGAGGGGCTAGGGGGCGGAGACCCTGGTGTGGACATGCGGGCCAGGGGCTTCATCATGGTGGACTAGGATTTATGGCTGCTGTTCAAGTAGTAGATAAGGGTCCTGCAGCTGCCCAGACCTGAGGTCACTCTAAGGGGCTCTTGTTGCCTTCCATGGTGGTAGCTGCCCCAGAGAAGTGTCATCCCAAGGAACGGGGGGGGGGGGGCTCCGTTGGAGGCTGATTATTTACTGCCTTTACTTCAGGGGCCTGGTGCTTCCTGGGAAGGGAGCGTGCCAAGCTGTGGAGAAGGGACGGAGTGGACTAAGCTATGGGAAGGGACTCATTTCGCTAACATTTACCTCTAATTAATCACCAAAAAGCTGGAAGTGGAGCTGTGGCTCAAGTGGTAGAGCACTAGCCATGAGTGAAAAAGTTCAGGGACAGCCCCCAAGCTTTGAGTTCAAACCCTAGTACTAGAACAACAGCAAAAAAGCTAATGGAAGCTGCTCACAGCTGTCATCCTGGCTACTCAGGAGGCTGAGATCTGAGGATCGCGGTTCAAAGCCAGCCCAGGCAGGATAGTCCCCGTGGGCCTCATCTCCAACCTACCACCAGTAGCACTGTGGCTCAAAGTGATAGAGCACTAGCCTGGCGAGAAGAAGCTCAAGAATAACACCGAGGCCCTGAGTTCAAGCCCCATGACTGACAGAAAAAAGGATGCAAATATTATTTTGGCTACTAATGTGCCACTTGTCGCAGGATTTCTGGTAAAAAAAAAAAAAAAAGTCAGGATGGACTCTGTGTTCTTGTTGCATTTAAGTCTCATGTGTTTTTTCTTTAATTCTCCTCCGTGTCATTTCCCTAGTTGCCGTGTAGTGTTTTCCTTCTGTTGCCTTGGACCGCTACATTCATAAGTAAAACCAGCCAGACACGAGCAATTCCATATGCTTAGTCTAGAAGTTCCGCTAAAAATGCTTCCCATGTTCCATTGTGGCTTTTTATTACAATAATGTTTGTAATGACATCCCCTAATAACCCAACTTACATGGGTTTTTAGTTAGTGCTTTTGTCATGGAACTACAGGATAATTGTGTGGTGATCAGAAAACATTTCCTCTCTGCTTTCAATCTTTTAAAATGTTTCAACACATATTTTATGGTCAATCTTTCGTTAATGTGTCAAATATCTGGGGGTGGTGGGGGGGGCACGGGGGTGGCCGTGGGCGGATACGGCTACAATGTCGTCGGCGCTGGACTCTTTGAGTAGCTTGTGGGCCAAGCTTATTGATCGTGACGTTGTGTGCCTGGGACGTTATTTATGGCCACCGCAAAACCCGTGGCCCCAGCATCTGGGCTCTGAACTCCGACCCCAGGAGATGCAGCCCTGTGGCCCGTGCTCTGAGAGACCCTGGACCCTATGGCCCCTCCTCCTCCACACAGAGCCCGGCGCTGCTCTCTGCCTTCTTCCCCCACCCTCCGGGCTGCACCCCACTTTCCTAGGCAGGACTAACCCCAGGAAAATCCTCAGCTTGGATGTGGTCCTGCTGGCGCTCCCCCGGAAGGACGCTGTCCACAGAGTGGGTGACGGTCTCAGGACCGAGAAGCAGCGCCGGGAGCAGAGGAAGCGGCCATGTTGGTCACCGACACCGGAGCCGGGCCTGGGACTCGCGATGCTGACCGGGACAGGGGCCGGGCAGCCAGCCTTTGAGGAGTGAGGGGTCAAGTATGGATGGGGCCTGGGTGGCCACAGGCAGCTGAGCGGGACAGATACCCTCTTAGGACATGGCCTGAGTGCATGCCGGCACCGCTGCGTGGAGTGTGGACGGCCAGACGTGACCCACAGGCTGGACGGCAGAGCTGGCCAGCGCTCAGGGAGGAGAGGGCTCTGTCGGGCCAAAGGGCTTGAACTCAGGGCCTCACGCTCTGTCTTGGCTTTCTCCACTCAAGGCTGGTGCTTTACATGTGAGCCATGGCCCCGCTTCTGAGGTGAGGGTTCTGGCAGGGAAAACCTGGGGCAGAGGAAAGGGGACCGGGTGTGCAAACCCTCGCCCACCGGGTGCTCTGGGCGCTCAGGTGGGCGGCCTGCCCATGGGCCCCGCTTCCCCACACTGCAAAGGGTGTCAGAAACTGCTCACACCCAACAGCCGGGCCCAGTCTTGTCACCAACTCCCAGGTAACTAGGACCAAGGGTCTGCCATCTGGGGACACAGGAGACCCAACTAAAGAGACCCGAATGGGCACTGGTGGCTCACACCCGTCATCCCAGCTACTCAGGAGGCTGAGAGCTGAGGATCACGGTTCAAAGTTAGCCCAGACAGCAAAGTCTGTGAATCTTATCTCCACAATTAACCAGCAAAAAGTACAAAGCCCTGAGCTCAAGCTCCCGTAGAGCAGAAAAATAGAGGAGGAGGAGGAGGAACCACAAGAATTACTCGTTATGTAAAACAAAGAGCCAGGGCTGTGCTCTAGAGACCGATAACATTTTCCCATAAAAAGTAATAATGAAGTACAACTTACAGCAGCATTTGCAATTCTAAGAGCAGGGGGTGTGCACGTGCATATGCATGTGTGTGCATGTATGTGCATGCACAAATATGTGTGCATGTTTTGCTGGGAATGGACCCCAGGCCCTTGCGCGTGCCAGGCTTCTGGCCAATATGTAGTCATGTGACTCTGCCAGAATGAAGATGGGAGCACTGAGTTGCATAAAGCATCTGCCCAGGTTGTCCCTGGCCCTTCCGGGGTGGACCTTCCCCCCCCCGCCCAGTGCCCCCTCCCCTCCCCCCCCACCCGGTGCCCACCTGGTGTCACATCACCCAACATGGAAGCCTTAAGTCTGCCTCTGTGTCTCATAGAATGGAAGCGTTGGTGATTCTTTCCATGACATGGGTTTGGTTCCTGAGTCGTACCACGTGGTTTTCCTTGTAGAGAAACCCTGGTTCATGCATCAAGGAGGTGATAGTCGGGCAACTCGGGAATCTGGCTTTTGGCAGTTACAAGTAAACATTAATTGTGGGGTGGGGGAGGTGCACTGGGGCTTGAACTCAGGCCTTGCACTCTTGCTTAGCTCTTCCACTCAAGACTGGTGCTTAACTACATGAGCCACTGCTCCACATCTGGCTTTAGCTGGTTAAATGGAGACAAGAGTCTCATGGACTTTCCTGCCCAGGCTGGCTTTGAACCAGGATCCTCAGATCTCAGCCCCCTGTACAGGTAGGATGACCGGCGTGAGCCCCCAGCCAGGTTGTGCCACTTTTGTTTACACCGTTAGACACATTCAAAGAGAATGTCGTACTGTGGCCCGCACGTGTCGCTGGAACTCCGAGCGGGCGGCGGAGCTGGGGTAGAGGTGGGGATCTTATCTAGGAAGTGGAACTGGCATCTTGTATCATGATGCCAACCATACGGTCTTGCTGCCCACACATCTCAGACGTCCCTGCCTCACGATGGGGGTCCCACTTTGCTTGTGGGTTTTGTGGCTTCTGTTGTGAGCCCCACGTTCTTGTCTCAGAAGTTCTCCTTAGCCTGCAATATGCCAATCTGGGCACCTCTGTGTGTGCCTGTGTGTGTGTGTATGTGTGTGTGTGTGTGTGTGTGTGTGTGTGTGTGTGTGTAGCCAGCAATCTGAGGATACCACATCACTGTGCTTTCGGTGGTGAATTCTACCTAAGGATTGCACTGCCAGTAGGTAGATAAGGCTGAGTCTTGGGCTGAGTCTCCAGGGCGGGACTGGAAAGTCTGAGGCCTGGGACCCATGGTGGAAACGTCTAGTAGCTGAGAGGCTGCTCCTGGGCCTCCACCCTCACGCCCGGCCTGTGCCAGCAGCGTCCTCCACAGGCTGGTAGCCTGCGGCTCACAGAATGGAGTCAAGCCTGCACCCACCACCAGGGACCTCGTACAGGACCTGAGATGTGGGCCACTCCCTCAGCCTTACCCCGGGCAGGCTCCCCTCCCTGGGACAGGGCAGCAGGGGCAAAGCTGTCCAGGCCTGGGCTCCGGGACTCTGGCTTCTGTCAGTGCTGTGTTCTCTGGCTCAGCAGAGCTCTCTGGATGAGGTGCACTCAGAGACTGTGGGCTCAGAGAAGGGAGATGGAAACTGGGCTGGACCTCAGGAGACAGGCCAGCCGGACTGTGGGCACAGGAGGAAAGCACAGGAGAGCAGGCTGACTGGGGTGTGTTTATTGAGGAGCTTTGGGTCCCTCAGACTCAGGCTGAGGAGAAGGCCCACCTTCAGGGCAGGATAGGGTGAGGGCCTTGTGAGGCCCCGTCTAGGCTTTGGGGGCTTGGAAAGGGGGGGGCGGCTGGAAGAGAGCCCATCCCAGACTGCCCTGACAAGGGGCTCTGAGAAGATTCGGGTTCAGGGGGAAGGGAGCTGGTGTCAGGTGGGGAGCCCTTGGGAGAGTGATGGGAAAGGAGTTGCAGGACAGGCTGGAATGGGCGTCACGTCCTCAGGACACAGAGCGGTGGCTCCTGCGTCTGTAGCGCAGATCAGAACTGTGACAGGATAATGATCACTTTCTAAGGATGGCCACACAAAGGAAAGGATGCGCCTGAGGCCTAGAGCAGAGCCTCAGACCTTACATTGGCAGCACACAGGGGCACTACAGCTGGACTAGCAGCAACAGGGCTTGCAACAGCTGTACTGGCAGCAGCAGGGCTTGCAACAGCAGGACTCACAGCAGCAGGGCTTGCAACAGCTGGACTGGCAGAAGCAGGGCTTGCAACCAGCTGGACTGGCAGCAGCAGGGATTGCAACAGCAGGACTCACAGCAGCAGGGCTTGCAACAGCTGGACTGGCAGCAGCAGGGTTTACAACAGCTGGACTCTCAGCAGCAGGGCTTGCAACAGCAGGACTCACAGCAGCAGGGCTTGCAACAGCTGGACCGACAGCAGCAGGGCTGGCAACAGCTGGACTGACAGCAGCAGGGCTTGCAACAGCTGGACTGACAGCAGCAGGGTTTGCAACAGCTGGACTGGCAGCAGCAGGGCTTGCAACAGCTGGACTGACAGCAGCAGGGTTTGCAACAGCTGGACTGACAGCAGCAGGGTTTGCAACAGCTGGACTGGCAGCAGCAAGGCTTGCAACAGCTGGAATGGCAGCAGCAGGGTTTGCAACAGCTGGACTGGCAGCAGCAAGGCTTGCAACAGCTGGACTGGCCGCAGCAGGGTTTGCAACAGCTGGACTGGCAGCAGCAGGGCTTGCAACAGCAGGACTCACAGCAGCAGGGCTTGCAACAGCTGGACTGGCAGCAGCAGGGTTTACAACAACTGGACTGGCAGCAGCAGGGCTTGCAACAGCAGGACTCACAGCAGCAGGGCTTGCAACAGCAGGACTCACAGCAGCAGGGTTTGCAACAGCTGGATTGGCAGCAGCAGGGCTTGCAACAGCTGGATTTGCAGCCCCCGCAGGAGCCACAGCCCCCCTTGCAGCCCCCACAGGAGCCACAGCCCCCCTTGCAGCCCCCACAGGAGCCACAGCTGGAGCAGGAGCAGGCTGGCACACAGCAGCTCATGGTTGTGGTGGTGGAGGGTGGAGGAGGTGAGAGGAGCAGGTGGAGAGAGAGGTGAGTGGTGTGGGACCTCCTGGCCTGGCCTTTATGTCCCTGTGGGGTCAGGTGTGGGCGGACACGAGGTCACTTCCTGGTCTGGGGCACATGGTCACTTCCTGGCCCCGGGCACATGGTCACTTCCTGGTTCCTGCTTGTGCCATCTCCCCAGGGAAATTTAGTTTATTTTTTTAATCTCAAACTATCCCTTGTCTTCGTGTTGTTATTTTCCTTTCCTTTGCCAGGCTGGGCACATGTTTTCTAGGCGGGTGGGTGAAGGCTCAAAGCTGAGCTTTGTGTTCACCACCTGTTGTGTCCTGGGCTGCTGTAGTAAATGCCCGCAGACAAGGTGCATAAAGCATCCGACACACCATCCCACCACTGGGCGGACACCAGAAGCCACCAACCAGGGCCACAGCCAGACCTCACTGAAGGTGGGCCTCCTGAGGACCACGCCCCTCCGAAGGGCCCGCCCCTCCAGCTCCTGGCCATATTGGGTTGGGGTGCTCTGGTTGGCTGATGTCACTGCAGGCTCCGCCTCCATCCTTACCCAGCTTCCTCTTCCAGGCCTGCATCCCCCTCCCCTGTAAGGACATTGGTCAGTGGACTAGGGGCACTGTGATCCAGACTGCCTTGTGTTAGTGAGGTTTCCTCTGCAAGGCCATGGCCAGCGTTCCAGGACGCATGATGGGTAGCACTGTCCACCGGCAGGCTCTCCCAGGATGTGTTCACAGAGATACAGGGAGATGTTCAGGGGAATACCAGCAAAGACAACCCCTCACATCCCAGGCTGTTACCTGCGGGCAGCACAGGGCTCGAGAGACAATGGGACCCATGCTGAGGACAGAAACAGAGGGAGAAAGAACCTAGGATCAGGATAGGATCCAGGATCAGATCAGGACTCAGGGTCAGGGCAGGACTCTGGATTAGGACAGGACTCAGGATCAGAGCAGGACTCAGGGTCAGGACAGGACTCAGGATCATGGCAGGAATCAGAGTCAGGGCAGGACTCAGGATCAGATCAGAAATCAGGGTCAAGGCAAGACTCAGGATCAGAGCAGGACTCAGGATCAGATCAGGACTCAGGATCAGATCAGGACTCTGGATCAGAACAGGACTCAGGATCAGGGGAGGAATCAGAATCAGGGCAAGACTCAGGGTCAGGGCAGGACTCAGGGTCAGGGAAGGATTCAGGGTCAGGACAGGACTCAGGGTCAGGGCAGGACTCAGGATCAGGACAGGACTCAGGGTCAGGGCAGGACTCAGGATCAGAGCAGGACTCAGGATCAGATCAGGACTCAGGATCAGATCAGGACTCTGGATCAGGGGAGGAATCAGAATCAGGGCAGGACTCAGGGTAAGGAGAGGACTCAGGATCAGAGCAGAGCTTAGGGTACTGAGATGCGGGGTCCCTTGGTTGGAAATGGGCTCTAAGCACAGTCCCAGGAGGCGTGGCCTTCTTGGGTTGTCTCTCCTGGGTGGGTTGGGCTAGCTTATGCATCCAGTATGGGGTGTCACGCCACGGTCCAGCTGCGCTGTCAGACCTGGACATGGACGGCGTTGCCTTCAGCTTGGCCTGGCTGGCAGGTGGCGGTGACCACAAGTCTGACAGCCACTACTGTGAGAGTCAGCAGGCTGTGGCCTTCAGAGGCCTGCCGTGGCACGGGCCGTGACCTCTGAGGGCCACCGTGGCACAGGCCGTGACCTCTGAGGGCATGTCATCGCGTGGGCTGCAACCTCGGAGTGCTGCCATACACAGTGGACTAGTGGACAGCTGGAGAGTGGCCTCCAGTCTGCCCACGTCCTCCCAGAGGGAGGGGAGAGAAGCTGGAGGGGGTGAGGGGCGAGGACCACCCGGACCCCAGAGACCCCTCGGCCAGGGCCACAGTGACGCAGGCTCAGGCCTCTCCCTGCCCAGAGCAAAACACGAGACAAAGCCAGTGTCCTGGTCAGGAGACCAAGGTTTCTAAGATGGAGCTCCACAGGTCTGTGCGGCCGGCAGGGCCAGACGTTGGTGCAGGGGTGGGGTGGGCTGTTCACAGACAGGAGTGGGCGCATACCACTCTCCTGTGGTGATGTCCTCACCCCTGCCCTCCCCTCTGCTCTCCTGTGTGACCCTATCTCCTCCACACTCACCCCCCCACCCCAGGGACTTCTCGGCCACAGAGCAAGGCGGCATGCCCCCCTCCTCCTCCTAGGCCGGGCTGTGCCGTGGGACAGGGGTCCCCGTCCCCAAACCCCACCCCCCGCGGTGACCCTGCCCTCCTCCCCCAGGGGACTCTGCCGTCACAGAACCACCCCAGCCCTCGGTTTCTTCTACAAAATGGGATTGGCAGCCAGAGGTCTGTCTGTGGGAAGCCGGGCTGTCATTGGCTGGGCCGCTGGGCCATCTCAGCCCCCAGGCCTGGGTCCCTGGTGAGCGGTCACGGCAGTGGATCCTCCCCAGCGGGTGCTCCTGTGGAGGTTCTAGCCGGCGCGCCGGTGCCCTCTGGTGGCAGCATGCCCCGAGCCTGAAGCCCCAGGAAGGACCAGCTCTTCTTGTCCTGTGCCAGGTTGGGGACCTGCTGCGTCCCTGGCCCGTCCCTCCTGGGTCCTGCCCAGCACCGGTCCACTGGCCTGGCCTCTCGGGCCCACAGCCTCTGCCGGGCTCTCCGCAGTCTCTGGTCCCTGCTCCCTTTGCATTCTTTTCTCCCAGGCTCCGTGCCACGCCCTGTCCCCATCAGGAACTCCCGATCCTGTGCTCTGGGTGAGCGCTGCCCCTCCTCCTCCCTGTCCTGGTGAGCGCTGACCTTTGTCACGACTTTGCTCCAGTTGTCTGTCCTTGCCGGGCACCTGCGGTTCTCATCTGTCTCCATCCTCACTTCAAAGACTGAAGTCAAGAGGATCACAGCGCCAAGCAGCCTCAGGCAAAGATCTCTGCCACAGGCTTCCTCGGCCAGCGGGCTGGGGGCCGCGGGTGTGCCTGTCACCCCAGGCTTCTGGGAGGACTGCACCCCCAAACGTTTGCGGGACCCCATCTCCACAGAAGAACTCGCACACGGTGATGTGCACCTGTCATCTCAGTGAGGGGGAAAGAAGGGGGTCGGGATCCAGTCACAGTCTGGGGCCCAAAGCAAGACCCCATGGCCAAAGAACCAATGCAGGAATACGAGGCGGGGCTGTGGCACAATGGCAGTCTCTGCCTAGCAGGTTTGGGGGCCAGTATCATGAAAAAAACTCCCAAAGACAACACACCCCTTTCCCTGGTGGGCGGCGGGCCTGAGGCCTGGCCCCTGCTAGGACCCGACCAGGCCCGGCCGCCGGAGATGCCACACGCAGAAGCTAAGCTGGGCCTCGCCTGCGCCACCTGGTGGCAAAGGAAGCAACACAGCGTCGGTCTCCTGTGGGAAGAAAAGGCTCCCTGCGGGAACGCTGTCCTGTCCGGAGAGGACAGCGAGAGCCTGGGTCTGGGCCAGCGCCACCCGTGGGTCACCTGTGGCACCAGGTGCTGGGATTAAGTCAAGATGGCTCCACCCCTCCCTTCTCCCTCCACAGGCTCGCGCTGGGCTCCCATCTCCTCGGACCCCTCGGCCCTAGGGTCCGGGGGACTGCAGCAGGCCAGGGGGAGGCAGGCGGGTGGTGGAGCCCCTGAGCCCCTGGGGGAGGCGTCGCTGCCAGGTGGAGGAGGCAGGGGCCTGGCCCTGGCGGAGTGGAATGGACTGCCCTCCTCTCCCGAGGGCAGGAGCCCCGGAGGGGTAGCTCACCCAGGACGGAGCCACCTGCCCCCACGTGGGCTCTGCCGTCCCCACTGCGTCCTCGGCGTCGCCGCTCCCTGGGTTCTGGCTGGCCTCCCCTTCTCGGAGGGCGCCTCCTGCCCGTTGCTCCCTGCGCCACCCGGAGCCCTGGCTCCAGCCGTCCAAGCCAGGATGGAGCCTCGGGCGCAGGCTCCCACTCACCTCCCTGGTCCTGCCAGGTCCTTCCCACACGCCCACCCGGACCCCAGCTCAGGGCTCCGGCGGGGAGCAGGGGTCCTGGAGACTGCAGCGTGGGTCCTGCGCTGCAGGGTGCTCACTAACCCTGCCCAGCCTCACCCGGCAGGCCCCAGGCCTCTGAGGGCCTTGTCCCCCAAGTCCCTGCAGCCAGGTCCACCCACGGGTGGCCCAGCGAGCCCTGGAAAAGAGGGAGGTCGGCTTAGGAGGATGTGGAGGTCAGCTCAGGTGGATGTGGAGGTCAGCTCGGGAGAACACGGAGGCCTAGGGAGGAGGAAGGTTGTAGGAGGGAAGGATACTAGGGGCCTGCTGACCACTGCTGCCCTCGTGTGCAGTGTCTGCTGCCAGAAGAGCAGGAAGACACAGTGGGGTGGGGGACCAGCTCAGAACCAACCAGACCAGCAAGTCTGCAGACATGCACCCCAACATCAGAACCCAGAGAGACCCCCCGAAATGCGTAGTTAAAGCCGGGGACTCCTCGGAGCCTGAAAGCGCTGAGGCCACCCAGCCCCACAACTGCTGCCCACCGCCCTCTGCCCTCACCAGACATCATGACGGGCTGTGGGTGACCCAGGCAGGCAGTGTCTGCAGGAGCATTCCTCCAAGCCAGTGCATCATGGGTGGGACTCTCCTCCATGCTGGACCCCAGTGCGTCATGGGTGGGATACTCTGCCCTAGTGCACCATGGTAGGACTCTCCTCTATTCTGGGCCTCAGCGCATCATGGTGGGATACTGCCCCAGTGTATCATGGTTGGAGACTCTACTCCATGCTGGGCCCCAGTGCGTCATGGGTGGGATACTCTGCCCTAGTGCATCATGGTAGGACTCTCCTCTATTCTGGGCCTCAGCACATCATGGGTGGGATACTGCCCCAGTGTATCATGGTTGGAGACTCTACTCCATGCTGGCTACTAGTGCACCATGGTGGGAGACTCCTCCATGCTGGGCCCCAGTGCATCATGGGTGGGACTCTCCTCCATTCTGGGCCCCAGAGCATC